TTAAAGTCCTGTGCACACTCCCATGGCCACCATTTGGCAGCCAAACGATTTTTGGCACAACACCGGTCCACATTTCCGGGTTGTCAGTGGTGATGCATAATAGATGCAACTTGTATGGCGAAGCGACGTATTTATGTTTATTTCCACTTCATTAGACATATTTGGACTGATGCGAATTATACGGCGGTGCGACGTGTATGGCTGCAAGTACGGTACATCCCAGGAACCTGATGCTCTTCACCACCTCCACCTCTATGTTATGTATGAGCAGCGGCGTGTGATGTGTTTTTGTTTTCCTGAAGTCAATAATGAGCTGTTTTGTTGACATTCATAACCAGGTTATTTCCCCACACCAGTTCACAAGATGTGCCCCCTCTTCCTGATATGCCTGATTGTTGCTAATCAGACCCATGACCGTGGTATCATCCACATACTTGATGATGTGGCTGTTCTTAGACCTGGCAACACAGTCATAGGTCTTCAAGGTAAAGAGAAGAAAGCAAGAAACACAAAAAAATATGCATGTAGAGATATTAAACCCAACCACTCAGGTGTTAAAATAAAAAAACCTCCTTAAAATAAGACTGTGACAGTTTACCGGCATGATTTGTGTTCTCAGTTTGATCCAGGTGAAAACTTGGAGGACTTGACACGTACCAGGTTTGCTGATGTGCCCTGCTGTTTATCAGGCTGCACTTCCATTCCCCGCTCCTGAAATCTTTGTTTTATCATCATCTAGTCAAATTACAGGGCAGAAATAAAGTTGTTTATGTGTTTAATAACATTCTTGTTCGGTCAGCATTTCAATGTATTTATTTCCCACTTGATTGGATGCTTTCTTGGACTTTTGTTGTTCAGTACATGTAATTTTCATTAAGTGTTAATAACGTTTGGTTTCCTTTTGCAAACTGCTGACATTTAGGTGTGTTTGGGTCCTCCATGTAACCTTTAGAACAACAGCAGGGTGGCTTCACATTAGAAGTGCACATAGATCTTTTGGACTTTAGCCTCTATGCTCCCTGACATCAAGTCCAGAAAAACACCCAGTTTAACTGGTGTGAACAGAAAACGTTAACTTTTTGCAGACTAATCTTTTAAAAGTGCAGAAGCCAGTCAAAAGCTTTGTACATTTGTCTAACTTCTATTTTAGCAACTTTTAAGTTGGTTGTATGGGGTAATCTTAATTCCCCCCCCCCCCCATTTTGAGTTTTTTTGCAAGTAACTTACAGTACCTGACATCGAGCATCATTTTAAGCACATGCTTTGAGATTAAAATAACATAGTGGCATAAATAACTTTGTTTGTGTGAGCATTTATCATTGGTTTAAAATTTTAGACTAAACTGGAAATGAAAAGTAGGGAATTAAATTCACATGGTCATTTTGGTGTTTTCACCAGCAAATATATTATTTTTAGGAATGTGTTACATTGGCTGAGACTGAATCACATAAAAGTTGTATTTTATTATGGCTGACCAGATTTATAGAAGCGCACATATGAAACGCACCATGTTGCAGCTCAGCATATAGCTCAGATTTATCCTGACATCACAGGACGGCAGGAGCTCCTTCAGTGACACCGCTGCCTGTTGTTTTGGTCACGTGAAGAGGACTGCTGGTGCAATGGCAACCTGGATAATGCTATGCAAAGATGATATGTGTGCAAACCTACTCTGAAACATATGACCATATGTGCACAAATAGGGTGCACTTTATCTCTAAATGTAAGGTCATGTCGATGACTGCAGGGCTTTAGCAGCTCAGACTTCCCTCTCTGCAGGCGAAGTGAACAGCACATGCTGACTTCAGGCTACTGAAGGCTGCAGCTTAACTGAGAGGAGATAATCTCTCCCAATCTCATCATCATCATCTTTACAATCAAGCATGTGGATATTAGTTCTTTTTTTCTGAAGACAACAAAATGTGTTCTTCACTTGAGGGTTGAAACAGTTTCAGAATCTTAAAGATAAACATTTTTTCTGTGTTTGTCTGCCACTGCCTGCTGCTTATTTGAACTCATCATATTCACAATAAAAAAAAACAATAAGAGCCAAATCTTTCTTTTATGTATCTGTTGTGCAGATTAAAAAAAACAACTGATGTGTAAAAACTGTGGCTCGCCACGGCTGTTTCTATGGTTGCCTCAGGTGGGAAAGTTGTCAGTTGTTCTCGCATGTATCTGATTCAATTAAATACACAAACTGTTAACTGTTCTTATCATTGGTAAATGCGTAAAGTTCAAAACTCACAATGCAGCGTTGTAAATGTAGTCATTTACCAACTTTTATTTGGTATTACCAGAGGTGGAAAGAGTACTGAAAATTTGTACTTAAGTACAAGTACTGTTACACTGCTTAAATTATACTCAATTACAAGTAAAAGTGCTGGTGTTATAAAAATACTTAAGTAAAAATACAAAGTACTCTTCTCAAAAACTACTCAGAGTAGTAATTACTTTTGAACCAGTTGATGTTTTGTTGTGTTGTCAATAGAAGGTCTTCAGTTTGATTTACTGTATATAATAGATACAGTCAAAGCACATTTCTCAGACGCTCAGTAACTCCATCTCAAACTGATGGCAGAGACAATATCTAAGCTCTTTGCATACTTAGCCAAACTAATAACCCACACATACAAACAATAAAACAGCAATATCGTACAGGTAGCTGTCAAACCTTGTATACATCAATATGTTTTTTGAGATTAGATGCTTAAGTCTTGTAAGCTGCCATCACCTTAGAGATCAAACAAAGTTTGCATCTGGACACTGTCTCCTTTTATGTACATGAAAAATTCCAGGTACGACCACGGGCACTCGTCCTCAGCCTTTACCTCGTTGTTTTCTGTGTTGACAGTGTTGTCCTCTGGCTCCATTTTGGCTTTTCCTCCAAATTTTCGGTCCATAAATGACTCTTTACTCTACAGAGTTGTTCTTTGCTTATGTCATAGGTAATTGGCGCATTCGCGCTCTGAGAGCCTTATTGGCTACAAAGACGCGGATGAACGGTTTGAATATTAATTCAAATTGTGGCCGTACTCAGTAGCGACTTCTGATTTTAAAAGTAGCAAAGTGGATTACATGGTCTAAAATGCACTTAAGTATGAGTAAAATTACACACTTGAAAGAAATACTCAGAAAATTACAAGTACCCAAAAATCTACTTATTTACAGTAATGTGAGTATTTGGAATTTGTTACTTCCACCCCTTGGTATTACCAAACATCTCTGTAACTTGTTGCTGGTTAAAAAAAAAAAATCCTAATTTAATGTTTCTGGGATGTTTTCATTGCATTGCTGTGATTTTTACAGTAACTTACATGTTCAGTGAATCACAGTATCAGTCCTGCAATTACAGTAATAATGTAACGTAAAATAAATGATTTACTGATCTTTTGGTCAACTTTTGTATTAAATAAATTTGTTCTTTTTGTCCTTTTACCACCTCTTCTTTTAGGGCAGAGGTGGGCAACATTTTTTTTTTTCCAAAGGGCCACTTCAAGGCATTTAAAGCAGCAAGCAAAGGGCCGCATAAAGAATTGGAAAATAAATGTTCTTCATGACAGATATCCATCCATCCATTATGTTTTACCTGCTTCTTCCATTTTGGGTCACGGGGGTCGCCAGTGCCCATGTCCAGCAATCACTGTGCTAAGGGCAGGGTACACCCTGGACGGGTCGCAGGTCCATCACAGAGGCACATAGAGACAAACGAGACAAACAACCATTCACTCTCTCACTCACACCTAGGGACCAGTCAGCCTAACATGCATGTTTTTGGTTTGTGGGAGGAAACCGGAGTATCCAGAGAATACCCACCATGCACAGAGAAAACATGCAAACTTCACTGAGAAAGACTCCTGGACTGGGATTTGAACCAGGAACCTGTTCACTGAGAGGCAGCAGCTCTACCAGTTGTGCCACCGTGCTCCCCATGACAGATATCAATCTACAATGTTTTTTAAAGACTTTTTCTTATAGTAGCATAGTTAGCATGCTTTATAAAACATGTCTTTCCCATATCTTTTAGGAATACATGACATATTCTGTAAACTGGGTCTTGTGACAATATATTATACATGTTAGCTTAACATGTTATATACATTAGCTAAACATGTTGTACACATTAGCTTAACAT